ATTCAATTTTCGCATGTATGTACGTACATATTAACATTTTTTCATATTGTAAATTTCACAAAAAAATGTGGAACGCTTCACGATTTTGCGTGTCATCCTTGCGCAGGGGCCATGCTAATCTTCTCTGTATCGTTCCAATTTTAGTATATGTTCTGCCGAAGCAAGAACGAATACTATCGCGAATAGCTGCTACTTATACTGAGCGCATGCCGAAAAAGCATTTACGAATTACAAGACACAACAGCAACGAAGCAAAAATACTTTCGAAATTCGTACAAAAATGTCATTCAATAAGGGTTAGTCATAATTATGCTAAAGATTTAGCAACTATTCCCAAATGAATAAGCATTGTTACGAGACATGTATGTATGTATGTACTTAGTATCTATGCACGTTTTGTATGCTTTCAGGTAGCGTTAACTGATGAATTCTTCGCTAACAATGTGCTGGTAGATACATACTTATACATACTTATATATATGTATGTACATAAGTATATGGGCACACACGTGATAGATACATGTATCGAGCGTTCCATTCATTAATGGCGATAGCGTTTTCGTTTCTACAAAAATTTTGCTCTTTATTGCCCGGTTCTTAGTGTTTGTGCTTAGCGGGCAATGAGAAGGTAACATTTACCGGTATAAACGAAAACGGCTAAAGTTAGGAGTAAAAATTTATCAATATAAATATAGATCTAGACAATCTTAGACTTATAAATCTCCCCAAGGAGAGGCTTAGAGGTACAACAGAAGGCCACTTGTTCAATCTGGGGATCTGGTCAAGCGACTTAAAGAATAAACAGACGGCAGCGTTGATCCGGATCAGATCGGGAATTAACTGCAGTTGATCCGGATTAAGCCCGAGTTAATCCGGATCAACGCTGCAGTCTGTTTATGCTTTTACATAAGTCGCTACTGCGGCTCGGCCAAAGAGACACCATTGCCCCTTCTCTTAGAGTGCGAAGCCGTTTCACGAAGAAGGGAGAGGTGCTTACGACATAAATGGCCAAGTGAAGGGCACGTCCCACAGTGCCGGCTATGTTGGCAAAAATCGAAAAATTTATTGTCTGCAATGTGAACACGCTTGGTATTTTTGTAACGGTAATTTATCTACTAAAAAAATTAAACAGAAATTTCCCTATAAAATAAATTATATGGCGCCAGGAAGCCACTAAAATCGACAAATTTTATACTAAGAATTTTAATAATAGCATAGCCATGCGTAAGTTCTTAACGTAAAGAAATGTCAAAAATGCATTCTTTGGTTTGTTGGTTGGACGCATGGGGGTAGCCAGGTGGGGGCGGGGGGGTGCTCGAGGCCCCCCCTAACTTTCAAATTTTCCTTATATATATATAAAATAGTACCCTGAAATACCAGCTTAATAGGGTCGAGCCCCTACCCCCCCTAAATTTCATTCTGGCTACGCCGATGGTTGGGCGTTTTTTATTTCCATTTGAATTATAGGGATTAGGCAATTGAAATAGATACGTTTCCACTTATGGGAGTCAGACGAAAGAGGTTATAGAAGGTGTGTGCTTGAAAATATTACGAAGAGGGTTGCCACCTGTTTGGTAAGTCAAATTTATTTAAACTAAAATAATAATTATGTCAA